CACGACATTCTAATTTATTGAGATGCACCTGTATATGTATGTATGTATGTATATGCATGTATATGTGTGGGTGTGTATATATGTGTGTGTATATATTGTATATATCGCAATCACGATTAATTGATTTGACAGCCCTAAATCTAACATTTTTTTTTCACTGCAGTTACATGTATTCATTTAGCACGATACAAGCAAGCTAGCAAAACAACGTTTCAAACATTGTTTAGAACAGTAATCTATAAAAGAAAGGGATTATGAAATAATGAAAGCATAGAAGTAGTTTTTTTTTTTGTTGTTTTTTTTTTTTTTAGAAAGTCAGCAGGATGCACTGAAGTGCTCACTGAAGAGTCTGGGTTGTTTCTTCAACATTTTCATGATGTTTTAGTAGTTGATCTTTCAAAGAAACCAATACTGAAAAGTCTGAGAATTCCATCTCATCATAAGGAATTCTCTCAGACTCTTACGTAGATGTTGACAAACATTTCTTCATATGCTTTAAGCATGGCAGATCTCCAACTTGCCACCCAAGTTAATGGATCAATCATCAATAGGATCAATAATAAATTGCTCTGAAAGAACTGACACTTGAGAACATCTGAAATGTACAAAACTTGAAAAATAATGTCTTACCTCAATTTTTCTCATGACAAGCAAACCATCCACCACTTTTCCTGTAAGAAAGACCCCCAGCAGTTAATGACAGAAGTTCTCTCAGTACTGAATCGATACAGGATTTATCTGACCTACCAAATACCACGTGCTTCCCATCCAACCAATCACACTTTGTGCAGGTAATAAAAAACTGACAGCCATTTGTTCCAGGTCCACTGTTTGCCTGCCGGGGAAAAAGATGATTTTACATTTTTGATTGGAAACAACAGAGAACAAACAATCTAATGGCTAGATGGAGTGCATTTATCATTTATCAATGTATCACGTTGTCTTTGATGAGTAATGTGTTCAAAAGAAGAAAATGACTTCGCATGATGCTGCAGCTGGTCACAAGGTTTTGGTGATGAACCATTTTTGAGTTTTCAGGGGATAGTTTCGTTAGTAACACAGCTGACAGAATTTTTGTGGGCACGATTAAAAAGAAACATTGTCTTATCTGAAAATCAATCAAGTTAGTGTGGCCCTTAAAATTGGTTTCTTTCTTTCCTGTTAGATTTTGGAGTGAAGTGTGAATCGAAAATATTCCCCACTAAATGCATTGTATAAGATTAGGGCCACTTTAGCCTTGTAATGATAACAGTACTTAAAGGGATTTTGAAGATCATTTTAAGCACTATTAATCTGATATGCTGTCATAAAGCATACTGTGAATGTACAGCAAGGGTTTTACACTGCTACTGTGTGTGTATAGAAGCTTTACCATTGACAAGAGTCCTGGGCCAGACTGCTTCATTCTGAAGTTCTCATCTGCAAACGGTCCCCTGTAGATACTGCAGATACCAGTGCCATCCCCCTGATGAACAAGAATACAGTGTTTACCACCACTCACACAGAGTCAGAAAATCTGAAGCACTCAATAAACCGTAAGACATGTAGGCTAGCTGTGTGTGTGTGTGTGTACAGTAGGGCCCTCTGACCATTATATTATCCCAACTTTATTATTTTTTTAAGTTGTAAAAATATTATTGGAGTACATTTTAGAAGTACATCATACACTTTTCCCCCCAGTGTAATTTAGTTTAGTTAGTATTTAAGATATAAAGTAAAAAGGGCAAATTAATACTGCAATTTAATCAAACTAATAGAAAAACGGATGACTGCAAATATAAGGGCACATCCTTATTGGCTCATTTATAAAGGCACATCCTTGTTTGAAAAGATGGATATCATGCATGACAGTCAACACACAAACAGACCCCAAAAACAAAGTTCTGAAACATGTCAAAAGCCAAACACCTCTATTCAACCGATATATTATTCAACTCCATTGTCTGGATCACAAAGCAAAACTTACATTGACGAAATCACCACCCTGAATCATGAAGTCCTTTATCACCCTGCCAAAAGAAAAGATTTACATTATCATTTTTTTTCAACAGATATTTTGTGATCACATACACTTTTATGGGCAACATGCAGCAAGAACTGTGATTTTCTTTTAATTATATCATTAGATTTTGATATACATACATATTGGGTGCTATAAATATACATAAAGCCTTTGACCCAAATTCAATGCAGTGAAAGCCATTATTTGTACAGTCAACATCATAGTGCTGTTCTGAATCGCAAAGCATCATTCAGGGTGGATTTGCACTGAAATGTTGATAAATGAAAAACTTACAACACCTGTCTGAAGGACAGAAACATAAAAGCCCAAAGTTTCATAACTTAGAATGATATATTTGAACAAACCTCTTTGTCTAATTAAGAGCAACAGTAATATACTGATTAAGCCATACAGCACTAAATATTGTTATACAATATAACAGTGTATAATACTGACTAAAGTGTCTCACCGATGAAATGTGCAGCCTTTATAGCCTACAGGAACACCGTCCTTCCTACATTGAATAAAAGCACCACATGAACAAGGTATATGCAAATCAGGCAGGACCAGGAAGAAAGAGCTGTGCACATAGCATGCTTTCATGAAATACAAGCTGTGTTTAATATGTAACCTTATCCAGCACATGTTTCTTATAGAATCATTTCTACATTCTCAAAAGCATTAGTTACAATAACTCAGTAAATGTGGTACTATAGGTTCAACTATTCATGTGGCTGAAATAGCACAGCCATCTATTAAAGGGACATTTCATCTGAAAATTTGCTGTTAATTTACTCACCCGCAAGGCCATCCAAGATGTAGAAGACTTTTTTTCTTCAGTAGAACCATAAAGATTACTTTTAGCTGAAGCCATGATGATTCAAAAATTGTAGGTCAGGGACTTCAGTCACATTGGGGAAGTCGTGGCCTAATGGTTAGAGTCGGACTCGTAACCCAAAGGTTGCGGGTTCGAGTCTCGTACCAGCAGGGATTGTAGGTGGGGGGAGTGAATGTACAGCGCTCTCTTCCACCTTCAATACCACGACTGAGGTGCTCTTGAGCAAGGCACTGAACCCCCAACTGCTCCCCGGGCGCCGCAGCAAAAATGGCTGCCCACAGTGTGTGTTCACTGCTGTGTGTGTGCACTTTGGATGGGTTAAATGCAGAGCACTAATTCCTAGTATGGGTCACCATACTTGGCCACACGTCACTTCACTTGAGTCAAAAAAAGGCAAGAGAAAATGAATACCTGTGGCTCCTGACGATATATTGAGATCTTATGAAGCAAAATGATCAGTCTGTGTAAGAAACCGAACATTATTACCTGTAATCCAGAGCCTGAGGCAAACGTTCCGGAGTGATGTCCGGTTCACAAACGAATCATTCTTTTGAATCAGTTATTTTTAGTGAACTAGATGAACCAATTCTACAAGTTATTCAATCAAAACTCACTTTCAGAATAGGGATGCACCGAAATGAAAATTCTTGGCCGAAGCCGAACAAAATGAAACACTGGGTCGAAGGCCGAATATGGTTTTTCGCATTTTGTCCTCCATTTTGCCAATTTTTTTCACCATTGCATAAATTAAATAGCCAAAATGTGCTTTAAAAATATTTACTTAACACTGAACATTTTTTTTTAACATTCTAGCAGACATTATACTAATAAAACACAAAAATAATAAGTTAGTAAAATAATATGTTTTGGCCATTTTTGAGGCCCCCTTCTTGAATCAGGCATGTATTTTTGACTGTACAAATAAATGCAGCCTTGCTGAGCAGAAGAGACTTCTTTTAAAACATTAGAAAATATTACAGATCCCAGAACACTGTGTGTGAATGCTTTAGTTAATAGAGCTGTTGTAACTATTCGTATCCTTTTTATTGTCTTTATTTTATTTTACAGAACAACAGTAAAATTACAATAATAACATTTATTAATGTTGATGGAGTTCTTGCTTTTCTCAGCTTTTATTTTGGCAGAAACCCGCAGGAAGATCTCAGTGCTTCTTTTTGTTGACAACAGTAGATTTATAAATGATTCTCATTGCGAATTTGAGAAGATGTTTGTTGTACGTATCGCATTGTGACATGCCTTGTAAAAATTAATAAAAATGTTACTGAGCAACTGACGAATAACTTCTATTTCAGCACAGATTTTTCTCGCGCTTTGGACTTTGCGCAGCGAGCTCATGCAGTGCTGTTTGAATACATGCAATTCGTGCGTGCATTAGAAAACACAATGTTCTGCAGTTTATTCAATTGTTTAAGGCCATTTCGCATTTCAATCATCATACAGTAAACCAGCAACAATCACCCCTTCCACTTCTCATCGGAGACATGAGATGCAGCACTAAACAGTCTCTCGCTGTCGGTGCTTGTAATGATTTTTGCATCTTTCTCGGACACCTTTAAATGCTTCCACACTGCTGACATGTTTGCTGCATTAGTGCGCGCCTCTATTTGATCGCGTCACGTCATTGTTCGGTACAATTTATTCAGTCTTTTTGCTAATTTCGGTTGCCGAACATTTGGTGCATCCCTACTTCAGACTATTGTGTGATTACGTAAACAAACTGGTGAATCAGTTCTTTGAACCAGTTCATTCTGACTTCACAGGTAATAATGGTGTAAATAATGTTCAGCTTCTTGCACAGACCGATCGTTTCGATTCATAAGACCTCAATGTATCGTCAGGAGCCACGGGTAATAATTTTGTGTTGCCTGTACAGTTTTTTTTTTTTACTCATTTTATGAATCACCAAGGACCATGGTTTCAGTTAAAAATCCTCTTTACTATTTTAATGAAGAAAAATAATAATCACCTGCATCTTGAATGGGCTGAGGGTGAGTAAATGAACAAAAACCGTTCATTTTTGGGTCAACTATCGCTTCAACTCACTGAAATCTGACTTACTTGAATTCACCAGTACAGAACTGCCTGAAAGACACAGAAAAAACAGATTTACATGTGTGTTATGAATGCCTGCAGCTATTCTGTATTCTGGGTTTATGCATGAAAGGACTGTGGAATCATCTTACCGAAAATTTTCTGCAGTCTTCGGAACAATGTCAGCAAAAAGCTCGATCTTCATTCTGCCCACTTCCTGAAAACAGTAAAACATTGAAAAAAAAGCTGATTACAAACAAAGAGACAAAATATTCACATTTACACTGATCGCGAGTCACATTCAAATGAAAGTTGTTGCATTCTGTGCTGCTGCAGTGGATGCGCTTTCAGATCATCTGTAAAACTATATCTGCGATGTGAGGCCTTAACCATGGACGGATGATTTGTTGTGTGCTTGTGGAATGTTGCTGTTGTCCTACATGAGCACACATGAGAAATTAAGCGTGCGAGCTGGAGCCGTCACAGCCCTAAGTGGGTTAGGCTGGCCATCGTGTCGTAAAAGAGCTGCTTGTTTGGACTCAACTAATGGATGAAACCAGTGCTGCATTAGTGCAGCGATTCTCTCTTCTGAGGACCTTTGTGAGAGTCATGGAGATGCGGTTTCCAACACCCTGAGAATTCCTTTGATGTTATGGTGTTTTCTCCTATGCAGTTTTATCACAAGAAGATGGGTTTCATCGCAAAGGTTTTCAGGTATGACTATCAAAAACTAGGATAGTTTTTCATACTAAACTAAAAAAGGTCAATGGTAACTGATTAATGGATTAGTCTTGGTAATTTGGAAAGGATCAAAGAAATGCTTGTGCTTGGAATGTTAACAAATGTTTATAGTTAAAGAAAAGTAAATCCATCTGTGAAGAATGGCCACTTTATATAAAGATAATTCTGAACTCTATGAAGCTGAGAATCAAGAGAAATTGGTAAAACTTTTGTTTTGAAGGAAATGTGAGTGGTTCTTGCCCTCGTAAAATTAACGACCACCGTGATGCTTTTGTTGTGAGTGGTTGCCAGGGTGCTGCCATGCGGTTGGTAGGGAGTTCTGGACCGTTGCTAGGGCATGGATAGGTAGCTGCTTTTGTCACAGAAAATCTATAGGATTGTTTTTTTTTTTCAACATCCGCCAGGCAAAATTTGACTTTTTAACTTTTTAAGCTCTGCACCTCTGAATGGTGCGTTTTCGACTAGTTTTGCCTGAACACGTTTGTGTTGATGGGTATCATTTCATATTAAAACGCAAAAGAAACTACGAGCATGCAATGTCATAGTTATGTCGTCAGTTAAGTCATTAAGTTACCAAAAGGTAGTGTCAGCCTCGGACGTCACACCCATGGACCGTTGGGTGAACGTCTGATGCATAAGGCACACAAAATTGGAATCACTTCAGGAGTTTCGAAGTCGTTATAGGATTGGTTGAATTATACAAGATTTCCAGGAGAGTTGTGTTGCGTTCTTTAACGTTCTGCCTGGAAACAAATATGCCGTGATGCCAGGCCCGAACTGGGATGCAATTTCAGGCCGGGAAATCTCACACTCATCCAGGCCACACAGAAAAAAAGGAGCCAAAATTGTACATTTTGGGGTAGAACAACTTGTCACTGTAGCAGTAGTCTTAAAAGGACATCTTTGTACCTTTTTTACCCCTAATAGGTACATGTTAGTACCTTAGAGTAGTAAGTCATACCCTTAAGGTACTAATATGTAGGCCTACCTATTAGGGGTAAAAAAGGAACAAATATGTCCTTTTAAGAGTACACCCTTAGGGTGCTTTCGCACCTAGCTCGTTGTTTCGGAACCTGGCGCGTTTCCCCCCCTTAGCTCGGTTCGTTTGGGCATATGTGAACACGGCAATCGTGCTCAGATCCGCGCCAAAACAATCGTCCGAGATCGCATGTTAACATTGGCTACCAGAAATTGCTTACCCCACCTTTAAATGACAAACAAACGATAAACAAAAAAAACTATACTTCCTATGACATACAGACCTTATACACAGAAGTGTAAGCACTGCCCTACTTTATCAGTAAAATAATTTAATTTCTCAGTAATGAGGTTAGTGCCAACTGAGAGCTGGACAGACGCAGGTAAGCACGCATACACACACACACACACACACACACACAACACGTAACTACAGACAACCACTTAATTCTTGGAAATGAACTCACACTGAAGGTGTTACTCTGCCTCACAATGTGGCCATAGTAATCTATGAAACTCTATATGCTTCAGGATTAGTACTAAAGCAGCATGATGCTATACTACTCCAAACATTCCAAAAACATTGCAATATGATATGTCCTAATAATATTCTTCAGGCTCTGGTCCCCACCTATCACTGAAGGGACTTTGAACAGAAACACAAAGACATCAAGTTACGAAGTTACGTAACGAGTTTTGTCACTAGTTGAATCACACACTCTTAAAAGCAATTACCTAAATACTGGGTGTTATTTAATAATTCAGAGCATTAAGAAACATAAACCAAAACAAATCACTTACATTAACCAATAATGTTAATCCTCATGTAAATAGCAAAAGCAGACATGAGTGTGGCAAAAAAGGCAACACAACTTGCAATAATGGTTTTAAAAATAGGGTCTCATGAGTCCACAAAAGTCAGGACCGCCTACCATTGTCCAGAAAAAGTACGCATTTAAGGGTAAAGAGGTGTGGTTTCAAGAATGTGCTCTGACAAAATGTGCTTATTTCCTCACCAGACACGACTCGTTTACAGATACGCTTGACACTGATGGAGCTCATGACTGTGTATCAGGATCAAGACATCTACAATTTCATCAGGTATCTCATTGGATTTTATTATATTATTTTATTGCCGTCATGTGAACATATTTCTATGACTGGGATTTGGAAAGCTTAAAGAGACAAATACTGCATTAAGCAATGTCTTTGTGACTTTCTTTTAAAGCAGTACCTCCATTCAACTACATTTGTGATTAGCAATGAATGCAACTAAAGTGGGAGACCACAAAATCCGGCTTGTCAGGTTTATACAAGAGATAAATTCCTATCACTCATCAGCAGGGTGCTAGTTTAACATTTGACTAGGAGTACTCGTTTTTTTAGTAATGTTAATTTACAAATATATTTATCCTACATCTCTACATTTATGTTGTTTGATGTGATGTTAATGTCACAATGCAATAAAACGGCACTGGAAAACTGATTCAAGACTTAATATTAAGTTTATCATTTGGAATGTTAATATTTGTGGTTAATATAAAAAGTTTAGATTTGTTATTTACAAACAAGTAGATGAATCAAATTTCACTAACATTTTGTAACTATCTGAATGCATTTCGACAAATGACCTGTACATACACTGAACAAAATTATAAACGCTTTTGTTTTTGCCCCCATTTTTCATGAGCTGAACTCAAAGATCTAAGACTTTTTCTATGTAAGGGGCAAAAACAAAAGTGTTGTGTTTATAATTTTGTTCAGTGTATATAATAAAAAATAGCATTTGTAAATATTAATGAATGTTATTATGAAAACAATTCAACAATATAACTAATCTGCTCGAACATGTTATGCTATTTTACACAAAACAATAATAACAACAATCGCAAAAACACAACCGATATACTTGCGCCTATATAGATAAGGAAAGTAATAGAATTAGGGATGCACGATATTATCGGACCAATATCGGAATCGGCCGATAATGGCTTTAAATGTAAATATCGTCATCGGCCGATATGAAAAATGATGCCAATATGTCTTGCCGATAAGAGGAATACATTAACTCACATGTGCTCAGGGTGTGCTAGCGATTAGATCACATCAGCATTGTGGCTCATTCTTGAAGCAAAGTTTTAACTGAATGGTGATTAGATTCACTGTTTTGGATCTGCATTTAAACTGAGAATGCACGTACAGAATGACGTCAGGTGTGTGATAGAGTAAACAGTAATAGCACTGCAGCGGCAGCCTCCCCCGGGTCCTAACGCCTGCTCAGTAAGGAGTTTTAATTCCGTAGGGGGCGCTGTTGTTCTACTTCTAATAAAATGAAAGCAAAATACACAAATAATATTTAGACTGTGTTTCTGATTAAATAAACCAGTAATTGATGCCATAAAATCATGAGTATGTTTTGATTTAAAGGTCAGAAGCTATAGCTTACATGAACAAAAAAAAATCACAAACATGACACTTAAATTAAATAATTGATATATACTGATTTATTTTTTAATGTGTTGTTATATATTTTTAAACAAATTATGAAATCTTACAAAGACTTTCTGAAATTGTACAACTCTTTTGCTTTAGACCATTTACATGTTAAATCATAAAATACAATTTTAAGGTTACCACTGCATCTTTCTGGGGGAAAAATGCAGTGATTAATATATAGTTTATTTATAGTTCTTTTCAAATCTTCAATGTACTGTAATTATAAAATAACTTTATTGTTGTTTATTTAATTCTAACAAATAAGTTCTTGTTAAAAACTAACCAAAATTAAAAACAATTATATATCGGTATCGGCCAAAATGAGCTGAAAATTATCGGCATATCGGCAAAAATCCAATATCGTGCATCCCTAAATAGAATAAAATATTTTTTATTCATATAACATAACTTTGGCCTGACAAAAATAAATAGGTTATATTTGCCTTTCAGAATTGTACAATTCTGAATAGAACTCATAAAAGCAATGACTGATCAGTGAATGGTCAGGCTTCACTTATCTTTTATGATCTGCCATCTTTTGTCTGCATTGATGAGCCAAACCTCCCCCAGCCGTTTTACCATGCTTGCTCATTCAGAATGCTTTGTTTATTAAATTTTTCATCTTTGGTACTAAAAATGTTCTATTCGGTTTGAAGTTTTGATCATTGTTTGTGTAGATTAGGTAATGATATCAGGGTCAGTGTAGCATCTGATTTCCATTTGCCAGTTCTTGAAGTCTGGTCACTTGTGTTTAATTTTGGGAAACTAGGATATTATTTCTCTTCTCAAATGTGTGTTCACTGCTTCCCATTTTACCCCAGGCATTCCTGGGGTTTTGTTATCTTGGCTGTTAAATCTTTAATAAGAAACAAAGCATTGAGCAAAGCATTAATAATTAATATTATTTGTAACTGGTATGCATTAGGGCTGTGTATCACCAGCAAAGTCACGATAAGATACGTATCACTATACAGGACTGCACTGAATTTCACCTCAGAAGAA